TCTACTGAGGTAACTCCCCGTCCCCAAAACACAGATTCCTCAATCCACTTGATCCTATGAATCAGAGTCCCTGAAATTGAGACCCTAAGCTTGCAGATAAACAAGCTTCTCAGGGATTCTGACAGCACAGGGAAGAAAGGGCTAGGTGGCAGTGGTAGGTCTGCGGTTTCCTTGACTTCCTACAATACAGACGGTTCTGGCTGCTCCTGTGCTTAGCTAATTACAGCAGATGAGCAGAGAAAGCTTTCTCACAACAGCTTGTGGACATTGCAGTCCATACCTGGCTGGCTCCAAGGCAGAGTGGCACGGGACAGAGGGCAGTCATTCATGGCAGCAGCAAACAGCAAAATAGCAAGAGCCAAAAGGGAGCGGCAGGGCCAGTTACATATATTTTCTTTCTTTCTTTTCTTTTTTTTTCAGTATTTTTCTTTCTTTTTTTTTTTAATGTATTTAGTACAGGGTCTCACTATGTAGATCGGACTCGTAGTGATCCTCCTGTTCACAGCTTCCCAAGCACTGTAATTATGTATATTTTCTTTTTTGGCAGAACCGGTGATTGAACTCAGGTCCCTGCACTTGCCAGGCAAGCACTTATTCCACTGAGCCATCTCCCTGTCCTCTATGTATACTTTCATAAAGTGATTTGTAGGAGTCTTTTGGGCCTGGGTGGAATGCTATAATTTATATTGAGAATGTCCCCTAAAGGCCTCATGCACTCAGAGGCAGAACTTTGACTTGCAATTAGCAGGTGGGGCCTGATTGAGAGAGGCAGCTCACTGGGGGAGGCATGGTCTGAAAGGGCATATCTTTGTCCCTGGCTCCTCTTTTCTCACTCTGCTTCCTGGGCACCACTATGTGAGCAACTTTTCTACACCAGACCCTTCCACCCCACCATGCATTCTTGCCTTGGAGCCGGCCACCTGTGGACTAAAAACATAACCTGCAATAAACCTCTGCTCTTACAGCTATGGGTATCTTGTCCCAGTGACAAGAAAGTGACTAAGATAGTAACCTTATATGAAGCAGAAGAGATAGAAAGCTTTGTTACTGTACCATGGGAGGATATAGCAAGGTGGCCCTCTGTAAACCAGGAAGGGGCCCTCACTAGGAGCTAAATCTGCTGGACCTTGACCCTGCTCCTTCCTTCCTCTCAACTATGAGAAATGCCTGTTGTTTAAACCACGCTGCCTAAAGGATTTTCATATGGCTGCCCAAGTACAGACAACTTAGTACCTCGAGACTGGTATAAAATTATCTTATTCTTGGGCTGGGGAGATGGTTCCAAAGAATAAGCACTTGCCTGACAAGTGCAAGGGCCTGAGTTCAATCCCTGGTTCTGAAAAAAAATGTATCTTATTCTTGATCAGCATGACCTACCAACAAATTAAGGTCAAACAGGGTAATACAGGTCATCATCCTGAATATCTATTTGTCCCTCCAGGAGTATGCTAGGCAAGGAGGCTACCTTTACCAAGCATCTATCACATTATCAGGCTCTGCAGAGAAGGAATTATAGCGGTCTTTGCCACATGGAATTGACATTCTAAAAGAGCAACAGGGGCAGGCGAGATAGCTCAGCAGACCAAGCGCCAGCTTAGGCAAGTGCAGGGACTGGGCTTTGATCCCCAGTACCGCATGCTGCCCTGGCCCCACCCCCAGGCCGCTGAGCCAGTGACTGAATCCAAGCAGGGCGGCACACGCCTGTAATCCCAGCACTGCGGAGGCTGAAAACAGAAGGATCACTACAAGTCCAAGCTGCACAGTGAGACTCTGAACCAAATACATAATAAATAAAAAAAAGAGCAACAGTTCACATAATGAAAACAGGTGTTATAGAAAATAGAAACATGATGGCAAGGCACTCATACCAGGGGAACCTGATCTAGTCCTGCATGTATGAGCCAGTCCATTTGATAAATGCAAAATTAAAATAACACGAATTCCATCTCACTCCAGAAAAAATGGCTATCAAGTGATCAACCAATAACAGATGCTGGTGGGCATGTGGCGAAAAAGAAACTCTTCTCCATTGCTGGTGAGAGTATGTACTGGTACAGTCACTATGGAAATCAGTATGGAGACTCCAAAAAAAATAAGAGATTCCATTTGACCTTGCTATTCCTCTTCTGGGCATCATCCCATTCTCACATTATACCACAGCGAGAAACACCCCTTATTTTTATGGTTTTTAAGTCTTAAATTTGTCACTTTTTACTGTTCTTGCAGACCAAACTGCAAATATATTACCAGAGACTGTTCTACATTGTGCTATAGACTTAATACATTGTCCAGTGGACCCGTTGGCATCAGGAGAGATGAAGACTGCTGTCCACTGCAGTCTGTGGGGCCAAGGCGGGAGAAAAGTCTAAAGGTGTGTAAGTACAAATTAAGGAAAAATAACTTCTAACACTGAAAACATTTTTCCTTTTGAGACAAGGTCTAGCTATGTAGTCCAAGCTGTCCTTATACTCAGCAATTCCCCTGCCTCAGCCTCTCAAGTGCTGGGATTATAGACATTCACCACCATGCCTGGCTTGGTAATTGTGTGTCTAGGATCCAGCAGCACATCAAATATGACCCCGGCATTGGCATCCATGGCATGGGAACCTATGTGGTGCGAAGGCCAGATTTCAGCTTCGCAGACAGGCATGGGGCAGGCTGCACTGCAGGCAAACACAAGCAAGAAGACACCATGAGCTGGTTCCAGCATAAATATGATGGGATCATCTTTTGTGGTGAACAAATTCCCCTTTCTACTGAAAAGGCCAATGTTTTCAGTGAAATGTAAAAGATATGAGAAAACTTTATTCCAGTTACCCCAAGAAAGTATGTTCGGGCCAGCCAGATAGCTCAGTGGACTAAAGCACCTGCTTAGAAAGGCACAGGGACCAGGGTTTGATCCCTGGTGGGCCGTGCCAGCCCTGCGCCCAGTGCACACTGAGAAGGCAATTGAGACTGGGCATGGGGCACGCACCTGTAATCCCAGCGCTTGGGAGGCTGAATACAGGAGAATCACTGAGTCTGATCTGTTAAGTAAGACCCTCCCTAAATACTTTTTTTAAAAGTATGTTAATGTTGAAACATTGAGGAGGTTTCATTTACATTCAGTCACATAATTCAAAACAGGGAACAAAATTTTATTTGATAATAGACTTTTAATGAGACTTCAAAGGAAGAAACATACAGAGATCCTCCTACAACTTCAGAGCCATTTGGGCAAGCATTTACTACACAAAAAGCATCAAAAACCAAAAATCAAATTTTGAGAATGATGTTCAAGTCTTTGATATGCATTTATTTGTACATGAGAAAACAAATACTTTAATATAAAAGAAAACAAGCCTGAGGGCTGACCCTTCCTCCCACCATCTACGAGCCTTCCTTTGGCGATGCGCAGCTTTCACCCCACACTACCTCATTTCCACAGCACCAGTGTTAGCTCGACAGATTGGCTTCTGCACAGTAAGCCCTCTAGATTCATTTCCCATATCCCGTCTACTGCTCATCACTCCCCTGCCTGGTTTCACAACCTTATACCGAACATTTATATTCACTGTAATTGAGCTTGGGCATTCCAGATATCCAAAGTCAACTATACGTACACAATTCTATTTTATTGCACAGATCAATGTACAGCAGGTAAATATATGACCAACCCTGTAAGTTACAATGAAAAGTGAATATTTAGATGACAAAATAAAAAGGTAAAATTTATCCCCAACCACAAGGGAAGTAAGACACAAAGTTACAACACAAAGGCTGTGTTTGTGGTACAGTCCTCAGGAACTGGATCGCTCACGAAGTGTATTAATACAGTGCTTGTGCCATTTCTGGTGGCATCAGCCATGAAGCACAGGACACAAGAGCCAGACTTGTGCTCATGAACCGTGTCTGTGCCACACATGTAACAGACCACATTGCTTTTTAGACAGTCATTCAATCATATTTGTCCCTTTTAAAGTATTACCACGTTAGTCCACACTGTTGGTAAAAACAACAGAATCTCTTACTATACATTTTGACTTAAAGTTCAGATAAAACTGTTGGCTATAAGTTCTGAATTTTTTTGTAAAATTAAGTCTATTGTACAATACACAAAGCCATCTCTGGCAATGTATTTGCAGTTTGGTCTTTAAGAAGAGTAAAAAGTGACAAATTTAAGAATTAAAAACCATAAAAATATTGTTTTATAATGCCACATGTTCTTTGATGGGGCAAATACCGAAGCATTTTCCTTACACTTTTCACCAAAGTGCTTTACAAGTAAAATCTTATCTCCTGCATGGAGTGTAGACAAAGCAAGCCCCTGAGAACTGAAGGCCAATGGAGTTCACTCTCAGGGTAGAGCTGTGGCCCCAGCTCCCGGGGCTGTACTGGCACCTGGCCATACCCACTGGTCTCAGGGTTGACACGCATGAATGAGGGGGCCAGGGACCAGATGCCATCTTCATGCAACTCTGCAACTCCCTTTAAGTCCTGATTCAACAGGCCAAAGAGCACTACTGAAATTTACTGGGTGTCATCTTGTTTTCTGAAATCTTCACCTCTGCACCTTGATCTCTAAACTGCCGAACCTAGTACACAATCATCAACAGAACTGCTGGGACACTGCTCAGCTCCATTACTACCTTGGCAATGCTTACTATGCTCCGAATACTTTACACTTGGAATAAGGACTTTCACATAATTGAAACAGCCATAGTGCATTTCGAGGTAAACAGCTGTTTGGGACAATCTGCCCAGAAACTTGAGTAAACAACTATTTGAGGCCCTGATTTTTTGGTCAGTATAGTATATGCACAAATTTACATGCGATTACCCAGAAAAATGAAAAACAAAAACAAACAAAACAAAACAAAAAAAAAAAAACAAAACAAAACCAATGGTAACAAGAAACCTATCTTTAAGGAAGAGGGGAATGGTTAGGGCATTGCCCAGTGGTAGAGCACTGGCCCAGCACATGACAGACCCTGGGTTCAATCCTTAGAACTACCAAAAAAAAATCTACTTTCTTGTTAGAAGGCAGGAATAAGTACATTAATATTTACAGATATTTTCAAAAAGACAGATCGACAATTTGTCTAGTGTGTTTCTCGTATATCATTAGTTATTCAACTGCTCTATGAGTCATTTTGCTTCACCAGCTGGGGAAAAAATTTTCAAATATTCTGATTCTGTGACAAGTTTTGTCTATAAGGGACAAGTAGGTAATCTAGCTACCAACAATCTCTAAAGTTAAACATAACTCTTCAAATGTTTTTACTTAGATCATACGCTCTCAAAACTAGATTTAATGACACAATTATAAAACTGAATTCCCCAAATGTCAAATCCAAAGGAGTCTCCAAGTCCAAGAATGAAATAAAGATCGCTCACACTGGGTCGAGAGCTATCCTGAGCTTTTCCCCTCCACTGTAACATTTAGAAACCAGAAGGGGGCAGGGCTGGGATCTCAACAGACTCCCAAGATAAAACTTATGGAAGTGTTTTATTTTTAAAAAATATAGCTTCAAGAAAACAGGATACTCAAACATGACAAATTACTCCTGAGGGCGGGGGAAAAGCCCCTAAAGCCTACTGCTAAATTGGCACCAAAAATTCAAGGAAACCAGGCTGGCCAATGTAGGAATAGATAGAATTAACAACTTAATAGGATGAAGCATCTATAAAAAAATTTAAATTTTCTCAGTTTTTGGCAATGACATCAGTAAAATTAACGTAAGAATATTTTGGCAGGGCTTAAGGTCACATTCAGAATTAAACAGAAAACTTCCAAAGGGAGAAAGCAAAATTAGAAATTGCATCAGCAACATGATTCTGTCTACCTCATTTAAACAGAACATAGTTTGCATTCTATTCCAGCAGGTGTTTGATTCCAAAACTAACACCAGCAATTTCAGCACGACCCAATAAGCTCTTTTTCTTCTCTGTTCTGCCTGTGTCCTGCCACTTATGTTTGAGTTTAATGAACTGCAGCTGCTCCTGAGAGCAAAGAAGAAATGGAGTAACAAAGTAAGCCTGAGAAGGCCTGGGCCTGCAAGCCTCTTCCCTGGCTGCTGAAGGCATTTTATGCTACAATACAAAAGGCTTAAAGGTTGTTTTGGAAAAAGGAATCAGCCTGGCTATAGAATACCCTGTGAATGACCATCAGACAGACGCTATTTACCAGCAATAAGCCTAAAGCTCTTGGATAATGATAAAAAATTAAAAACAAAGAAATTTTTTTGAAAGTTTCCTACTGAAACCTTTTATTGTTTTTGATGATACTCAAGGGAAACAACTCAGCCCATAATTCATTGTGGCCTGGACTCAATGACACCAACTTGTATTGGGGCCAATCTGAACCAAAGCCAAATAGGATTTTTCTTAGGTCTATTTAGTTGATACATGGCACTTCACTGATGACTTTTTCATATTATCTTTAACAAGAACTCGTAAGTCGCATTGATTATGCCCCAAGAGATGAGGGACCGATGATAATTCAGATGGGCTCCCCTGAAGAGATTTGTCAGCTTCCTGTCCCGTTCTAGCCAGATTGTTTTGAAAACCTTGGAGAAAGATGGAAACTCCCCACCAATCTGAGACTGTATGCGAGTTTTTACAACATTAACTGGAAAAAACAAGAATTCCAACATGGCACCCAATACCCCTCCACAGATAAAGTCATTAACCAGATGAGCACTGTGAGTGGTGGCTGTAGGGAGATGCTCCTTAATGGGACCTCGAAGGCCGAAAAAAAGGACATTGCTGAATCCATTACGAAAAAGAATGGGCACCAAGCCTCGATAATACTCTCGAATTCCATGGCATTTCTGTGCCCGGAAGGCCTGATAAGTATTTGTGAATTTGTCATGATGCTTGTGGTCTTGAAGCAACGTCTGAACTCTTTCCAATGGAGTGAAAATGGCTTCTGTTGTCCCTGCCAGGATTGCCGCCACACCCCGGGTCGTAAACTCGGGAGCACTGACGTGCTTATGGAGAAGGCAAGATAAATCCTCGTACAGACCAAACATAAGCGCCAGGGTAGTTGTTTTCTGCATTAATGGGGGAAGGATTCCACGATACAAGTTTTGAAATCCATCCCTCCTCAACTGAAGCACTGCATCCCGGGTTTTGATCCCATAAAGCTGCTGCCGAAAGAGGACCTTCTGAATGGGAAATGTGACTGCTATATTGGTGAAAGCTGCGCAGCAGCCGCACAAGTAATGCTTCATTTCACCAACACTAGTGATGTGAGGCGATATGTCTTGTTTTGAAGATGTTAGGATTGGTGGCCTCTTTTCATGAGCTTCTGAACCCATCATGTTGCTTCCAATCTCTGCTGTTCATGAAGGATTTTTTAAACCTACAAATAATAAATGACAAAGGATTGTTTACAAAGAGCCAAACTGAATTTTCCCCATCCCTCCTTCAGTTTTTGGACACTGTTTTCCTTCTACAGTGGATTAATAGTTTCGAGTCTTAAAAAATTGTATTTTTGATTAACATATTGAGCATATTAATAGGCTTTAATATGCTCCCAAAACATGCTCACCGCATGGACCAGTCCCTGGTTCTTAAAGTATTTTCAGAAGATCCTTGGAAGAAGTACCAGAGGTCCCTCTTTTTCAACTACATGTTTATGGGAGGCTAGATTTTCTGCATATATTTCAACCAGAGCAATTTATTACAACAGACTGAATGCAGAAGTAGATATAAGAGCCAGCTATCTTTTAAGCCTGACACAAAAAGAAAAACTTGGAAAACTGTAAAATATATTCTCATCCAAAAAACCTGGGGGGCAGGACTAGAAATAGTTTTTCATGAAAATATGGCATATGAAAATGTCAGGGGCTTACAGTATTAAAAATCAGTATTTAGGGCCAGCAAGATAGCTCAGCAGTCTAAAGCACCTGCTTAGGCAAGCTCAAGATACATCTAGTAAACCACAGAGACTACAGTTTGATCCCTGGCACCACATGGGGCACCAGCCTCGCCCCCAGGGCAAGTTGAGCTGGCCACAAAAAAAAACCTCCAATATTTAACACTTAATTTCTAAGACCATAAAATTCAGTTCATGTAAATAAACTCTCTGGGGTTTATAATAATTTTTATGCGTTTAAAAGGATCCTGAGACCAAAACTTTTTACTGAACTAGTCCCTAAGTATTGGCTATTCTACATAATGCTATACCCCCATTATCCTAATGGAACGGCTCTATGGGAGGTAATATAGCAAAAGATGCATGCCTGCAATTTATTCACACTTGCACTTATTTAGTAGCTACAAACTGTTATGTACTAGAGGTTCAAAGTCAAAAATTTCACAAGCTACTACACAAATCTGCATCTCTACAACTATGCCTGTGTTATGTCTTCTAGGGTAAATACATGCTGCAGACATACAGGTAGGGGCATTTTGGAAGATGAAGAGGTGTGAGAGAATGGGGTCAAGTACTGCCTGGACTATATACTATGTATTATACTTTGACATACTGAAATTCTTAAAACAATTCTGTAAAGTATTGTTTTTCCAGTTAAAAAAATGCCTACAAAAAAAGTCCAATATTCTCCACTGCTCAAGATACATCTAGTATGGGGCTGGAGAGATGGCTCAGTGGTCTAAAGCACCTACTCGGAACAGGCTTGGCAAAGCACAGGGACCGCGGTTCGATCCCCCAGCACCACATGCCAGCGAGCTGCGCCCCCTGGTGGGCTGAGCTGGCCACACACACACAA